GTCTTTTAAAAAACAACGACGGTTTTTTGATCTACCGTCGTTGTTTACTGGTCGTCTTTTGCCCTTTTTGTAGTAGTGGCTTATCCGTTGTCCATGTGTTAAATGTGTGAATTTGAAATTGTTTGGGATTGGAATTATAAGGGATCACTTATACTTTAATGAAGTTGACCAAAGCTATAAGAATTGGACATTTCACGGAGAACCTTGGGAAGCAACTACTAATGCTAGTAGAAATGTTGAAGAAGATGATGACCATAGTAGGTACAGTTTTGTGTCTGAAGAAATAGAGATGGATGATAATGATTTTGGTGATTTTGGATCCGATCCTTATGAGTTTGCTAATGTGATTGGGGATGGAGATTAACCATTGTACCCTGGTTGTAGAAAGTACACCATGTTATCGGCATTAGTGAAGTTGTATCATTTGAAGGCAAAACATGGGATGAGTGATATTTGTTTTACAGAATTATTGATACTTGAGGGCGAGTTGCTTCCAGAAGGAAATACAATACCGGCCTTTATGTATGAAGCAAAAAAGACTTTGTGTGTGCATTGGGGTCGAGTTATGAGAAAATCCACGCATGCCCCAATGATTGCATTGTATAGGAAGGAGTATGAAGATTCAACTAATTGTCCTACTTGCACTACAAGAAAAACACCCTTTAGTGACGGCTAAAAAGTGTCAGGAAATGTAATACTTGACGGTGCAGAAACCGTCAAGAATACCACTGTCAGGAAAGGGGTACCCCATTTATTGACGCTTTTTAGCCGTCAAGTAATCGTTGTAATCTTCAAGTAACTATTATGTTTGACGCCTTTTAACCGTCAAGTAATCGTTGTGCTTGACGCTTTGTAACCGTCAACTAATCGTTCCGCTTGACACCTTTTAACCGTCAACTAACAATTCATTGATGGCTCTAAGTGTCAACATTGTAGTTATTTGACATCTAATAAGTGTCAATTAAAATCACTTGACATGTAAGAACCGTCACATGGAAGTTTACTTGACGGCTAAAATGCATCACGTACGTGACATTTGTTGTATGTGTCCTTTTTTTTTTCCCAAACAAGGGGGAGCCAACAATTTTTTTATAATCCCACTGGACTAGGTGGGGATAAAGAGCCCTTTTTATTTATTTATTTATTTATAAAAAAAAATTTATAAAATCCAGCTGGGCCTAGGTTTGGCCTATGCAATATATTATTTTACAACTATGAAAACTAATCTCATTATTAAGAGCTTATCACTTAATCAAAACTAAATCTGGGAAACCAAAAGAGCTAACTTTATCACAATAAAAAATAATTCAAAGCACAGAATACTTCTAAAAATAATTTGCATGTATTGAAACTAATCAACTGAAAATACATCATACTAGTGCATTTGTTCACTTAGTTTCAACAAACTATACAAGCCATGCATTGCCAAATATACACACTAAAATCCATAAATAAAATGAGTTTTTCCAGTAGAAACCTCTTGTGTTCTAGTACAATATTCCCCATTTTACATCCAGAGAGTTCTTACTTCGATAGGACCTGAAATGCACATTAAAAGAAAGATAGTAGGATCAAATAATCAAGTAGTACAACTACTAGAGTCTAACTGCACAAATAACTTTATAAGTGACAAAAATAGAATATAAGCACACACATGACCTTCAAAACAGATGACCAGCAGCCTTACAACAAAACTGCCAAACAAGACCTGCCAAACAAAAATGCATATGATACTTAATTTTGCAGTGGGCAAACAATTTCGCAGTTACATATGATACAAAACTGCCAACGATGAAAAGTAACATACATGTAATCAGTTAGAATTTTTCAACAATTTTCGAACAAGTATAAACTATGAACAAATTTACCATATTTCATGAATATTCTAAGACCACAGCAGCCATACAAACAATCAATGGCTTTCACTTTCTTTCCAAAAAACAGAGAGCTTACTGGAAATCACATTTGTGATCCTATATATCATCTTCTCAAAAAGCCAAAATTGGAATTCCCATCACACATCATCTACCAAGTGAGAGCTAATATTAATTGAGTGAAATAGCCAATAAGATCTCACACAGCATATACCAAGTTAGCATACTCATTGTAATAAAATACAATAAATTGATTTAACAGAGCAAAGACTGAAATATATATATAAGATTCGAACCCCACTAGACAAATTATAGACCAGCATAATATCATTAGTTTAGTTGATTGTATCATAATGAAAAGTATGTTAAAATTTTAATATAATAGGAAATGGCTTACTTGTCTACAACTACTCTGACATCCTCATAAATATCATTCCTTAATGGGTCCAAATAATAAACAGTCATGGATGAGAAGTCAATGACAATTAAGATCCAGTGGAACCTATGGCAAATGAATATGTACATATTAGTCGAGTTCAGTAAATTTTACATAATCAAATCTAAATTAATAAGCTTTGAAGAGTAGTCTTACGCAGGATTATAAGGCATGATTATGAGTTGATTTTTTTTTGCCTTCACCAAACGATCTGCTATATTTCGTGATCTCTCATCCCGTTTTCGTTGATTATTTAAATTTCCAGCCAATGATACAATAGCAGGATTGATAAAGCCAAACATCTGAAGTAGACCTTCATCCTTCATATGATCATATAATTGTCTAAACAAAGTGAAATACGTCGAAGCATTGCAATACAATATACCTCAAAAAATGTCATGTAGCATTGGCTTACCTCATGTATAAAATGATACAACTCACTGTAAGTTCAAGCATTGAAGTAAGACATGTAAAAGAATCATGGTTGGCAGTACAAGGATCATAAGCAGCATTAACCATTTGTAAAGTTTCTTGGACCTCCTCGTATTTAGGTGACTGATCAAAATTTACTTCCCTACTTGTTGTTCCTCCAATATCAGCCACCTCCCCATGCCAACTCCATATCTTATAACTTCGATCAACACCTCTTATAAACATATGATCTCTTATCCCTTTAGGAGTCTCAACCATCAAATTTCCACATACTTGGCATGGACATTTCATGAGTTTGGGGTTACTAGCATGACTTACAACAAACGCAATAAATTGCTCAACACCATCTTCATATTCTTTTGACATTCGATCTTTTGACATCCAAGTTTTATCCATTTCAAACTAAAAAAACCTTCCCTGCAATATAGGCCACTTCATTCTCTTCACCAATGGTTACACACATTACCAAGATAAGAATTAATCTTGCAATGCAATATATAAATAGAAATGTATAGAAATTTGTAAATCATACTTCCTTTTCATACAAAAAATAATAATAATAATACTTGGCTGCAATTACTGAACTAATACCAGAAAAGTATGATTAAAATTGGTAATCAATTTCTTCCAGATCTATAGTTTTTTTATAATAGAATCATCCTAATTAAATTAAAATAGTATATTACTATTCCCAATAAGCATATATATATTCCTTTCTAGAAGAAAAAGCTACGTACTGATCTCAATTTATAGTTATAACTTATATCAAAACAACCAGCCATACATTACCAGAAGACATAATATCACCAATTAACAAAAACTAAAACACAAAAGCATTAAAAAGTTCACGAAAAGACCTATAACCTATATTATATTAGCATAAGAACCTTTCCTAATCAATTTTATCATCCAACAAAGATGAATTTGCATGTTCTATTTTTTTTATTTTACAGTGCCACAAGATAGTGATATCTTGAATTTTTTATTATAAATAAAATGATATTGATATGTTGATTAAATATAAAGAGGTGTAGTAAATTCAGTGAGGGAAAATGTCGAGTAGGTGGTGGGCACTCCTTGCCGCCACTAACTAAAAAGAAGAGGAACTATCCTAATTTCCTAATAAGACAAAGAATACAATTCAAATCCATGGGAAAGATAAGAAGAAAGGAATCTAACTCCACTACTCAACTAAACTTGACTGGAGAGTGATAATTTATATCACTTAAAAATTATGCTAATTTTTTTTGAATTCGATTAGTTGTAGTTCAGATATGTAGAGATATTGAATGCCCACCTATAAAGCTTGAAAAAATTAGGAATATTGGCCAATAAAGAACACAAACCTAGTTCTTTGTCGGCAGCAAACTCTTCAATATCCTTGATTGTTTGTTAAAAATCTTCACTTTTCTCCCATTTCAACGTTCTCCCTGGTTCAACTCCCCGAAGCATCTTGAGATTGAGTGAGATTCATGTCAGGTACCTAAGGAATGGAAAGAAAGCACAAAACTTTCTGAGAGATGTACATAGAGAGAGAAAATACTCTGTAGAGAATGAAAGATGAACAGAGTGGGCAAAAATACATTCATATGAACTATAATAACTTTGGATAGATAAGAAATACACCTGAATTGTTGCCACACCAAATAGCAAAGCATGAGCACACTAAGATTTGATACTCACATTCTCTTCGAACTTCTGTATCCAATTTAAGAAATGAAGAGTGGAAAACCCTAAGGACTCTGATATTTTTGGTTTTGGAATGAAGGGAAAAAGTGGTGACCAAGAGGAAGAGGAGTTGAATATAGGGCAAAACACTTAGATGAATTTGGAGTGAAATGCCCGCGAACTTAGCGCGCTCTTTTCCTGAGGATATTTTAGAAAAGTGTCAGCTGGTATAAAATGGTTTTAATTGACATTCTTTGTAAAATGTCAGCGAAAAGTAATAAACAATTGACATTCTTTATAAAATGTCAAGGAAAAGTAATATAGAGTTGACGGTTTTTAAAAAGTGTTAGGGAAAGTGATATATAGTTGATGTTTTTTGTAAAACATTAAGTAAACTCGCTAAGTAGTTGACGCTTTTAAAAAAGCGTCAAAGTTTCATAAAATAGTTGATGGGTTTGCAAAAAACGTCAATTATTAAGTGTCAACTAAGGCCTATTTTCTTGTAGTGTTGTGGTATCTCAAGGTGGAAGGAAGGCAAAGATTCAATCTTGAAAAAGGGTGTGCCAGCGAAGGTGGTGTGGTATTTTCCTCCAATTGCAAGGTTTAAAAGGATGTTTCAATCACATGAGACAGCTAAGAGTTTGACTTGGCATGCTGCTAGAAAATCAATTGACGGTCAGATGTCTCATTCGGCGGATTCCCCGTCTTGGAAACTTGTTGATGATAAATGGCCAGAGTTTGGTAATGAGCCGAGAAACTTGAGATTGGCTCTTTCATCTGATGGATTCAATCCCCACAGTTCTCTAAGTAGCAGATATAGTTGCTGGCCAGTTATCTTAGTTACATATAATTTCCCACCATGGCTGTGCATGAAACGAAAGTTCATGATGTTGACTTTATTGATTTCCAGTCCTAAAGAACCCGGAAATGATATAGACGTCTACTTGGAGCCTTTGATTGATGATTTAAAATCTTTGTGGGATGGGATTATAGGAGTGTATGATGCACATATAGGAGAATAATTTACACTCAGAGCTGCATTACTGTGGACAATTAATGATTTCCCTGCCTATGGAAACTTGTCTGGTTGTGTTGTTAAATGACATAAAGTTTGTCCAATATGCGGCGATGATACACCTAGTCACAGGTTGAAAAATGGCCACAAAATTTGTTACATTGGGCATAGAAAATGGTTACCAATCAATTATCCATATAGGAGGCAACGTGCAGCTTTTAATGGGAAACCTGAATATGGCACGCCTCTCGAGCCATTAACTGGAGAAGAAGTGCTGCATATGGTTGAAGATATTAATTACATATGGGGTTCGAAAAAAGGGGGAGGTGGAGGTGAAAATGATGGTGACAGAGTTTGTTGGAAGAAGAAGTCAAAATTCTTTGATCTCGAGTATTGGAAACACCTTCCAGTGAGGCATGTCCTAGATGTTATGCACATTGAGAAGAATGTTTGTGATAATATCATTGGTACATTGCTGGAGATCCCTGGAAAAAAATAAAGATGGGACTGCTGCTCGATTAGACTTATTGAACATGGAGGTCAAAACTGATTTGCAACCCGAGTATGCAATTCTTTCTATGGTATGAAGGTCCCTGAAGGTTATTCTTCAAATATAAAAAATCTTGTATCTTTACAAGATTCAAGACTTCTTGGCCTTAAATCACATGATTGTCATACCTTAATGCAACAATTGCTCCCTGTGGCAATTTGTTCTGTTTTGGAGAAGCCTGCAAGGTATGCAATGACTCGTTTGTGCTTCTTCTTCAATGCTATATGTGCAAAGACGGTTGATGTTTCCAAGCTAGATAAGTTGGAAGAAGATGTAGTAGTTACTTTGTGTTTGCTTGAAAAATACTTTCCACCTTCATTCTTCTATATCATGGTTCGTCTAGTAGTACATCTTGTCAGAGAAGTTCGTCTATGTGGGCCATTATATTTTAGATGGAGGTATCCATTCGAAAGATATATGAAAGTTCTAAAGGGGTATGTTCAGAACCGTACTCATCCCGAAGGTTGCTTTGCTGAGCGTTATATAGCTGAAGAAGTTGTAGAATTTTGCACTGAACATTTATCTGATATTAGTACAATTGGAGTGCTATCAAGTCAGAAGATAGGAGTTTCAAAGCCATTATCAGGTTGCACAGTGAGCTTAGTTGATCGGGACCTGTTGAACCAAACACATCTATATGTCTTGGAGAATACGGAGGAAGTCCTACCTTATATAGAGTATGAGTTTTATTCTTTAAGTTTCCATTTTAAATTATTCCTTATGTTTATCTTATATGTTTGGGACCGTAATGCTTGAATTTTTCGTGTCATGTAGGGAACATATGATCCACATCAAG